AACGAGAGACAGGTATGGCGAGTTGTGTTGCATCTTATTACATTTGCACTAAAAAGAGTGTATATATTTTTTGAATACATTTTTGGTACATTGCTTTAAGAGCATAATTTAATTTTGATTTAGATAGATTGTCAATGGCCAGAGAAAGAGATTTATTTTTATGGAGATGTATTTTTTTATTTCTTATGTATTACCTGTTTATATTTGGATTCCTTAGTTTTGCTATACATTGTACTTTTCAGTTAGATTGAAAGCACCTCATATTGTTACACTGTTCTACTTTTTCGAGGAAGAAAACACTTGAAGTACAGTATATCTACCGATTTTCTGAAGTTTTTTTTTTTTTTATTTGCACTACAAAGAGTGTATATATGTGTTATTTATTTCTGGTATAGTGCTTAACAAGCATAATTTAATTTTGCCCAATTGTGGCCTGTTGAGAGGCAATAAATATAAGAAAGTTCCAAAACATCTATTGTGTTATTTGTATCAATCCACTATATAAACATAATATCTACATACATGGCATTTGATTGGAGGCTAGTCTCACTTTGTCCCACAGCAACATTAAAATAGTTTAGATTTGTGTACATTGTTTGTGTTAATGTATTCTATGAAGTGTCCATCTCATTATAATATTCAGATTTATCATAAATAATTGAACAAACACATGTATTTGAGTTCCGTTAAAGAGGGGTGGAGGTGGGGTCACATTTGAGCATTTAAAAATTTACTTAAAAGTAATGCAAAAGTTACTTTCTGAAGTAACTAGTTACTTTTATAATTTGTAACTGAGTAACTAATTTAGTTACTTTTTGGAAGAAGTAACTAGTAACTGTAACTAATTACTTTTTAAAATTAACTTGCCCAACACTGTTAGTAACACACTATGCTGTCATGGATTAAAATCCTGCAGCGCATGCAAGGTCCCCCTGCTCAAGCCAGCGCATGTCCAGGCCCGTCTGAAGTTTGCCAATGACCATCTGGATGATCCAGAGGAGGAATGGGAGTCTCATGAGACAAAAATAGAGCTTTTTGGTCTAAACTCCACTCGCTGTGTTTGGAGGAAGAAGAAGAATGAGTACAACCCCAAGAACACCATCCCAACCGTGAAGCATGGAGGTGGAAACATCATTCTTTGGGGATGCTTTTCTGCAAAGGGGACAGGACGAATGCACCGTATTGAGGGGAGGATGGATGGGGCCATGTATCGCAAGATCTTGGCCAACAACCTCATTCCCTCAGTAAGAGCATTGAAGATGGGTCGTGGCTGGGTCTTCCAGCATGACAACGACCCGAAACACAGAGCCAGGGCAACTAAGGAGTGGCTCCGTAAGAAGCATCTCAAGGTCCTGGAGAGGCCTAGCCAGTCTCCAGACCTGAACCCAATAGAAAATGCTTTTTTTGTTATTCTCAACATTTTAAATGAATATGAATGTATTTGTCGCAGTGTTGGATGTGGTATATGTATTCTGAGATGTCAGATACATCAAAACTAAAGCATATGTAACGTGTAAAAACATGATTTACACCCAAAAAAATAAAAAGATAAATATTCTTATTTGAATGTAATTTTGAATTGCTAGTCGGCTCCTCTGCAGCAAGGAACTCAGTGCTAAACTGTCACTGTCGCTCTATGGCTCTGTCTTTTGTATCCCCAGCTCTCCACAGTATGTCTCTTCACAAAGCAAGCAGGAGACCGTTGTGTCCTCAGGGAGTTTAATGGATATTTCTGATTCAACATGTTCCCCCAATGCAACCACACTTCACAGTAAAAGTGCAGTGACTTTCAATATCAAAATAAGAGCATGCCTGCTGTTTAGAAAATGTGAGGGCGACTTGCTCTTTGCTTTCATGTAAGAATTTAAGCTATACCTCATACACACAAATTTGCACACACACAAACGTACATTGGCTTTCTCAGTGACACAAAACATCAATATCTGCTCAAAAGAAAGTAAAAATTAAAGCTTTGAAAACAAAAATATCAATAGATACTCACTGGTGCATGCAACCCTCACACACAGATTATCACACAGGCTTATAAACACTATGGTTGATTATCACACAATACACACAGTATACAGAGACAGACAGAGGCACAAACAAACAAGCTTATATCATACAGTGTAACGGTTCAAAGAAAACAAAACCACACTGTGTAAAATAAATATATAGTGTAGCTTTTTTGTATCACTCTCCCATTTCATTATTTTTCTTGTATTGGCTCTAATCTTTCACTTTTATGGGTGACAGAGAGTTACGCCCTAAACACATAGAAGTGGAGATTATTTGTCCTGTGCCCCACATGTCAGTAGAGTTACAGTATATATAAAGTAACTAAAACGGTTGTGTGGTCAAGTGTTACTCTCATTAGAATTTAGACCTATAGATGGGTTTCTATCCACATATTTAAAAGACAGCATGTTTTGATCTAACATTTATGCTCACTTCTGTCTTGCCTTTAGTAGGCTTTATCAATTTTATTGACATTTACATCGTCTTAAAGTTGATTTAAGCATCGATTTGATTCTGTCCACTTTTCAGTTGAGCACGGTAGAGAAGATTCACCCGAAGTAAAAACAATAGTTTTCAAGACAGTCTGTGGCGATCAGACCTGGCATACAAGCCTATGATCGGTGTCACATTCTCAGTTAAATAATTCCAAAATTCAAAGTCAGGCAGTGGCATTTTATTCACTGCCATCTTGGAAGCAATACTCGGGGATGCACTTGACTCATGTTTAATCATGTTGATGTGAATGTGATTCTGCATTTATGTCCCATGGGAAATAACCTGCATAGTAAGTGATGCTTTCTTCATGAGAATACCATTAATGTCAGCTTTCAGGTGATGGAAAGTAACATGGGAACAAGAAGATTGACTCCAATTTCTCTGACTTCATTGACATGACTCTTGAGTCAAGTCTAGAAAATGTTACACTGATTAGAAACAAAATAAATGATTTATCACTTTTCAATCACTGTAAGTAATTGTAAGTGCATTTAAAGAAGTACTCCTTAATTTTAAATTAATTTATTTCAGTTTTATTGGTTGAGAATAGAGCAGATTTGATTTGAGAAAATTGATTTGTGATTTTGGGATGTATGAATAAAATCGACTTGACTTGACTTTTAGGTTGGCAATGCAATTGTATCATCACAATATTACATTCAAGTGCACAGTGAGCTGATCTGTAAAGCTTGCTGTATGCATCTATATCTACAATGTTTGGCAGTGTTAGACATGTTTGGGAGCCTCAATCATACAGACAACATTTGCTTTTCCTTACAATTATTCACTTCTGATTTGTGAGGCTGGTTCTAGGAATGTGACTCACATCAACAGCTGAAGTACTGAAAACGTGATTCATGCTGCACTTGAAAAGCATCCATCGTATTTCTCTTCTACACGAGTGGTCTTGATAGCTCTTAGGGTTATCATGTCATACATTTGCAACAATGTCAATGCAAATACAGCATTGTCCATTACCCTTCACTGCCCAGTTAAGAATAAATATCTAATGTAAGTAACATTTCGAGATCTTAGAAGCAGTTTCTACTTAACTATCCCACTCATAAACGTGTCAACACAAGCATTTGTTGATACTCCTTTCATCTCCTCTTAAAACCCTCTTCCCTTCCTCTTGCCTCTCTTCTCTTCCCTAATTACTTTTTTCTCCACACTCATCCTCTCCTTCACCCATTCCACAACATATCTCGTCTCACTTTATTCCATCTCTTCATGTCATTCTTCACTCTTTATAATCCCTACTCTGATCCTCAATTCCCTTCTATGTGTTAGCTCACTTGTATCCTTTCTTTCACCTCTTTTGTTTTTATTCACCATCCTATTGGTGTTTTATATCCCTCCTACATTTTGTACCGTGTCTTATGTAGATGTTAGTACATTCTTCACTCAAGCTCCCCATTCCTCCTGCTGTAATTCCTCTTTTTCTTTCTCTTGACACTATTCTAGTTTTCTTCAGGTTTCTGTAGTTCTCTGACTGTAGCCATGTACCACATATTACAACATATATGATCATGTAGTGAAATAAAATGCAGTGTTTCTGACAGTATATTAAAACAATTTACCAAACTATGTCATAACTAACTGACTACACTGGGGGTAATGTTTCTCACTAATAGTATCTGCTGTACAAAGCATACACATCAGTGTTAATGGGGTTTCAGGTTCATCTACATGCTTGACAAAACAGAAAGTGGAAGAGGAAACCAATGCTAAAGTAGTTTGAAGTAACCTATCCCAACAGACAGAGGGCCTCATAAGAAGAAGTATTAGCATTAATAAGGGACTGCAACCACTAAAAGCAATGCAGGGTTTTAGTATGATACAGATTTATCACACATTTTTTAGCTTCACAGTAATGACAAATAACATGACAGCTGTATGGAGTATTAAATATTTCATACATTTCCTGTCTATCAAATGTCCTATATCTTTCTCTCCTGCTCCTTCACACTATTAATCTCTTGCTTCCCCTCCCTTCACATAAACACACACATACACACTTACAATGTGTTGGTGACAGCATGACACTATTAAAGTCAACCCCCCTGCTTACTATTCAGGCGCACACACACACACACACGGTCGAGCTCACATACACACAGCGTTACAAGGATTGTCCTATATAGAGTGACATAGTGTCCATGTTGCCTCAGCTGACGGGATCGATGATGATTCTGTGTGTGATGAATGGAGATATGGAAGAGTGCTGGTCATATGCAGCCCTATAATATGTCACATGACAAATAGACCCGACTGCTGGGAGCAGCATCTGATTTCTGCTCATTATAGGGGTTGGAACATAAGGGCATATACATACACATGCACACATGACTACATTAACGTCAGAATCAAAGTGAATAGTGAAACAATGCATAGGTTTTAATTCTATAATGCAGCAGACTTTCTTTTTGAGCAATAAAGGCACAAACACTCTGCTTACACACACACTCACACAGACGTGGTCTTACCCTACGAGACTCGATCTCTTTGACGTATAAAGGCAATAGGAATTCGGACACTCCCTCCAATCTGACACCTTCTTTGGTCACCCGCAGATTCCCCATGCCATCCTAAAAAAACAGATACATACAGAGAGAGATAGAGAAAAATGTGGTGGTTATGTCAATGACAAGTTGAGTGAAACAATCAAAATTCTGGGCACATATAGTTTCCATAGAATCAGAGAATCCAGTGATGCTTTGCTCATACACATATCACACACATTTAGGAGGATCTATTGGCAGAAATGGAACATAATATTCATAGGTATGTTTTCATTAGTGTTAAACCATCATGTTTCTACAGTAGCCCAGATTTAAAAAAAACAAACACTGGCCCTTTCGCATTTTTTTTCAGTGTTCCAGCCACCATAATTTAAACTTCACACTTGGTTGGATAAAGGGGTTTTTGTTCTGCAATCTCTCCGCTAGGTGCCACAAAATCCTACACACTGTTTCTTTAAATAGTCCTATCATATTATATATAGTAAACAAGAAAGAGAACAGTGATAAGAGTCAATTGCCAAGTTAGTCAGTTCATACAAGTGCATCTGGCAGTTAAACAGACTGGGAATCAGTTAAAAAAAATAGCTATGATTGGTTCAAATATCTTCTGGTTTCAGAAGGCCTCACATTTTCCAACTTCTAATCCCGTGTCTCGGAGTTAAATGTCCAATTGTCTCTATTTATATATACTAACTATAATGTATATTGTATATATTTATATGTATCCATATTTATTCCAAAATATTATTTGGGACAACTAGCTAACCCCATCCATCATATAAAACCTCACTTGACTGTAAGCTTACACCATGTGTTAAATGTTTAAATGTCAGATGGGAAAAAAACTGTGTTGTCGGGGTAATTTGTCCCTCATAAAGATCTGACAAAGTGTAGGTAGAGGTTCTTCATGACTCTGTTTCTCACCACAGCCAAACATCATTTCACGTGACTTTAAAGGGCCAGTGAGTAAGATTTAGTGGCATCTAGCAATGAAACTGCAGATTGCAACCAACATGTAATGACTGGAGTACTCAATAGCACAACTCAGAGATAGTAGGATCTTAAAAACAAACAAAACTAATCCCATAGGGGAAAAGGCAAAAGGCTAAGTCAGGAAACTATCAAAGATCAAAATAACCAAGAAAGCTAAAACTAAAAGTAATGCTGGAACACAACTCTAAGAACAAAGATGAACTGGCAAACCGACATGGCAACAGACGGACTACATTCACTAGGGAGAGAAGGATGGGGTGCAGGAGGTGAATTGTCTTAAACAAGAGAAGAGATGAGTATACAAAAAAAAAGGACAGTAAAAGCTAAAGACCCTATCTGGAGCCGGTGTTTGATTTGTCCATTCTGGGCTACTGTATAGAAGAGTTTAGGATCAGCTCCCTCTGTAGATAAAAAACGCTCATCCTAAAGTAATAAAAACACAACAATTCTTATTTATTAGGTGAGTATACACTAATGAAAAAATACCTACATTACATTTATGCCAATAGATCCTCCTAAATGTTACACACTAGACCTTTAAGACTAAAAATTATCAGTGATATGAGGAATTGAAGCCAATTTACAGAACCAAAATTAAGACGCAAAGTTGTTAAACATATAACCATCTGAGTATTTACCCTGCAAAAGTGGCTTAACTTCAGAGAAAATCATTTGTGGACAATTTTACTTATGTCAGTCCTATCCACATCTTACAAAAAAGAAAATATGGCATTTGTCTTGTTTGCCTTGCAAATTTGTCTTAATATCAACATTAATGTCTGTATTTAAGACATTTACACTATTGAAGGTCTTAGGTTTAGACAATTTATGACATGTGCAGAGCTTTTAAGGATCTCCAGATACCCAGTAGTACTTATTAAAATTAGTCATTGATGAGCAGTGTAATATTGATGCGAGATGGGAATATCATGTATTCACACAGGTCTGCTTCATCTACATTCAGATCATGTTTTACAGAGAACATTTTTTACAGTCTACTAGGAATGTATTTTTAATGTGAGCATGTGATTATTAATACATATATTCAACATCAAAGCATCATACAATAACCATCACACCCCAAAACAGAGAAAGGAAGGTAGGGGAACAGGAGGGGGAAACTGTAAGTTACAGTTTGATGTACATGTTGTGCTCACTTTGTTAGCGTTAAGCAACAACATATCCAAGAAGCCTTAGCCATTGGCAAACTGCCAACACCTCATGGGAGCTGCAGTTTTAAAATGCCAACACTATAGTTGTTTTATTTTTGTCAAAACAACAAGGTGCTGAAATTTTAGATAACAATTTAGCTTACAATGCAGACAGAAAACCCCAGGAACACATTTCAGCTTGTCAGAAAGACTGATGAAGACACCCCTACTGAGAAAACCCATGGAGTTATGGAAGCGAGTGGAACAACTAGGGAAAGGGGGAAGACTTTGGCTCTCTATGGGGATCCTCTTCATACAAAGGTCAATGCACTAAGCTCACAAATTACACATTTTAAGCTAAAAATCCTACTTACATTACAATGAGATAGAGCTGCAACAAATTAAAGTGAATTTATCTTTGTTCTTTTAGACCTTTAGTTTTACTTTGCAATAACTCTGAACTAATAACAAATAACCTCTATTTACTTCATCAACACTACAATTAAACAAAACAAAGGAGTTTCTTTCAGCCTCGTTGGATCATCAAATGGTAAAAAAAGAACATACACAAATTCAAGCACCACTGCTTCAATAGGGACTACATTGCTTTCTACAGTTTCATAAAAACAAAGTAAAAACAGCAGCATAAGGCTATGAGCCCTATAAATAAAGATGTATAAATCACACATTCAGGTTGTGTGCTTAACATCGCAGCACCATTTCTGATCAGCTGACCGGCTCTCTGTGATAAAAATGGCTTTGTGCCGGTTTGTGATCAGTCGTGCTGCATTTTACAGATTCCACACGAGTGAATGCTTGAAAGATTGTTGGATCAGACTTACATGGTAAGATTAAATTCCTTTCAAACAGCCATGCAGGGTATTAGGATAGTAGGGGCTTTTACAGAGCAAAGAGGCAGCTACTGTACCATGTCAAATCGGTGCTTAGGAGAGTGACAGTGGAAGGAGTATAGCAGCACTACAGCTGTTCTGATCATGTCTTGTGTCAAGAGTTTGGTGAGGTTTCTAGGTATTGTGGTAGGTTTCATGGAGACACATGTCTATTGATTAAGCAAATTCAGTAGTTGAAACTTTCATAGATGCTGATATCATTGCCTTACCGGTATCATCAGCTGAGCTGATAAGAGAGCTGAAACCAACAGAATTGAATTGGATGGTTAACATTTAAGGATAAACCATGTCAGTAGGTAAGAAAGCTTTATGGCCAATGAATTCTAGAAAAAGGTGTGCTGGAATACAGGTTGGGGAATTGTAAGGAGAGTCCACAGAAAATATTTTAATATAACTGTAATTATCGAAAATTGGTTATTACCACACTTGTTTAGTGCCAGTGTTATTTCCCTTTATTATTGATAAAGTCTTAATAAAAACAAAGATCGCAGGTGTGTTCCTTGGTTATTCTGAAATAACTTTCCTCAGGGCAAACATTTTCAGGCTCAAAAAGTTATGAGTGTGAAATAAAGTTCTTGTGGGAGGTAAGGCTCAAACAAACATTGCGGATTGAACCAATTCAGCCTTCAATTGCAATAACTCTTGCACAGAATGTGTCGCTCGATGACAACAAATTAGTTTTGCTTCCCTGGTTCCCAGCTTTCTTTTCATGTTCACAAATATTGATGAAACTGTCCATGAAGATAGGAATTCTGTTCGGAGTGCTGCAGCGAATTATCATTAATTGTTTGGTGCAACAAACCAACAAAGCCTTTCAAATTAGAAATGTACTCAAGAGGTGGGGGGGTCAGTGAGGGAAAGAATTGGGAGAATAAGACAATGAGGAGAGCAGGAGAGGAGGACAAGAAATACAGCAGGGGAAATACAAAACTTTAGGAATAAATGACATACTGTAGAAACAGAAGAAATTTCAAGCTCAAGCTCATTAGTTGCATAGTGGAGGTGAACATATATAATATAAAAGTAGTAAAGCAGATATTGAAAGTAACTCAGTCTATAGAAGATGGAGAGGAGTCAAAAAACAAGTCATCTTAAAAAAAGCATGTAAGTCCAACATGAGAAAACAGGAAGATAAATAACATTCCAAAATTAAGTACAAGAAAATAGTTTTTTCCTTTCTGCTGATGTTGATATTTATATATTTATATATACATATTTATACGTATTATAACAGTTTGACAAATACATTTTTATAATTCTGTCTATTCACAGGTTTCTTTTGTGCATATGGATCTTTAGACTATTTGCTCATCTCATTATTATGTCTGTGTTATTGGTTGACCAGTTAACCCATTGATGTCCGCAGCGGAATTGTAGTTTCCTTTACAGCACTTAAAGCTGCAGCAGGTAACTTGAACATACGCAATGCAAAACCTTCCACGTTTCTCGTTGCTGCTCGTATCACGGTCTCCTGTCTGTCTCTCTGTGCCTGTGTGTGTGCGTGGTGATCTACACTCTCTGTCTTTGGGATCCCTGTCTGTAATCCAGTACACCTGACTCGTGACTCGTCTTCTCAAAGACACCACTCCAGTGCTCCGTGGCCCCAGGAAAGAGCGCCACAGGCTCCAGAGGCAGCTGCAAAGTGCGACACATCTAACAGCAGGATTAGAGGATGGATCGGATATCCTTATTGACTGCTTCATCAACACTCTACAGCAGAGATTTTTCCAGGAGAGGAGCGCCGTATTATTGGACTGTCACACTAACCTCTAATAACACAAAAAAGGAAATGCTTTGTGCCAGTGAAAGACGCGTGGCTAGTAGCTAACATTACACCACACACACCGCTGTCTCCCCTCAAAAGTTATTCCCCACTGTGGGACATGTTCACACACACATTCTGTAATAAAGGCTGTTTTTGGCAAAAGAGGGATGGGCAGTTTTTTTTATTGCTTTTTTTTTTTTCTGTGTCTACAAAGCTCCTCCTGAAGCAAAAGCATGAGAGGGGTAA